TCTTGGAACATGGAGGTATGGGGCTCCAGTCCTGTCTGGGGAAGGTGGCAAGCCATGGGCCATGGCAGGAGAACCCTAGGCTGGCACCGGGGCTTGAATGCCGGTAATGACCCTGTCTTCACGTGGCGGCACTTGTGGTCTTCCTCCTCGCTCTGCTCTGCTCCCAGAGCTCCCACTTTGGAGAGAGGAGGCAGCTGGTTATGTAATGAAGAGTGCGTTACATAAGGATGGAACAGGCCCCAGTGGGACTGGGGAATGGAGCTGGCCTCAGCGGCCTGCAGAGCCCCCGGCAGATCAGGGCAGGCTCCTGCACTCCTAGTGCTCGGTAGCCCACCTAGAGGCTGGACCCGCAGCCTGGACCAGCAGCCAGCGAGAGATGGGAGGCAGGGAGTGCTGGTCAGGAAGCCAGGGTCTTGGCTTGGGCCTCGCTTTCTTATGACTTAGCAAATCCCTTCCCTCCCTGGGCCTCACTTTCCTCTCTGAAAAACTGAACAGAGGTGGAGTGTGATCTCCAGGGGTCCTCCCACTCCAGGGTACACTCTTTCGCTCCCCTTGCATAGGAGATTTCTAGGTTTGTGCTGTCACTCTCTGGACACATTTTCTCTCCAGGCCCTGATTTTCCTGCTGGTCTGGCAGGGAGCATGAGCTCCATTGTTGCCAAAGGACCTGGATTCAGCGTTCTGGAAGCAGGCAGGAGAGAGACTGGCAGCTCACCCCTTATCCTCTCTGTGCTCTGATCATGCTGTAGCTGAGACCAGCCACACCTGGTAGTAACAGCAGTAACGACAAAAGCCAGGCCCCGTGCTAAGCCCCTTTGCAGGCATCGTCTCATAAAACTCTCATATTTTTACTAACCCTATTTTACAAGTAGGGCCTGAGGCTCAGAGTGTGAGTAACCTGACCCAACTGACACAGCCAGTAAACGGCCAAGCCTGCATGTGAGTCCAGGCTTGCTAGCCTCCAGCTTCCACAACACATAATTGGCCTCATTCTCTCCAGAGACCACGGAAGTGGGTACAGCCAGATGGCGTAGACAGCCCCGTTCCCTGGTTGAGGCTTTGAGGAATGTCCATCCCCCTCACTAGCCACCCCCAGACCTCTCTGGACTCACCACCCCCCCGTTGTTCCCTTTGTGCCACCCACAGTGGCCACGATGGCATCTGTGGAGTGGGCAGCACAGCCTGCAGGCTGTGTGGGCGGTTGGCACGGGGTACTTGGGCACTGGTATTTTTAAACCCCTGTACTGGCCAACGTTTGCAGTTGGCTCAGGCAGGGTGAAGGCTTCTCTTCTGGGCCCCATGGAGTCTTGAATGGGAAGGTCGGGCATCACCAGTGGCAGGAGGGGCCTGCCATGCCGGACAGGGAGAGGCTTGGAACTGGGGTGGGATCTGTGTCCCTCGGGCACTGGGAACCCAGCATCCGGAGTAAAGCACGCGGGAGCTGAGGGCAGGTTTGAGGCTGTGGCTTGGAGGAGAAAACCAGGGATGGTCTAAGGAGAGAAGATGGGGGGGGGGCGCTGACCAGGAGGCAGAGGTGCTGTGATGTAGGCGGGAATGGGTGAGAATGGGTGGGAGTGGGTGGGAGTGGGTGGGAGGGCCCCCGAGCAAGCATGGAGCCCCACCCACTCCCTTTGGGCTGGGGGAGCTGAGGTCCCAGGAAGGAAAGTATCAGATTCCACTGTGAGGAAGTGGCAGAGTGAGGACCTGACTCCCAAACAAGAGCCATTTGGACTAACTTCATCCTGGCCCCCAGGGAGGTCCTGTGCACAGGGGCTCTGCACCTCCGTGGGGGTTTTCTGTGTCCTGGAGGAGGGTTAGGAGGAGAAGAAGGAAGAGAAGTAGGAGAGGGAGGAGGAGAAGAGGTAGAGGAGGAGAGGGAAAGGACAGCAGGAGGAGGAAGAGAGCAGGAGGGGGAGAGAGAGGAGGCCTCTGTGTCCACTTCAGGCTTCCGTACTAAAGGAGATGGGGTTTCATAATCGAGGCCTCATGACGGTGGAGAAGAACCAGGAGTTTTGGATTTGAGTGGGAGTGGAGGATTCACCAGGTCCCACCAGGCCCCTGCACCTGCCCCTTCTGACACTTGCTGTATTTGCCAGTTTCCCTGCCCTAACCCTGGTATCAGAAGGCCCTTTACTCACGGCCCAGGGCAGACAGGCGAGGGGTCTGGAGGCTCACCAACTGTTACAGATTGGAGGTCTCTCATGAAGAAGAAGAGTTAGGGGTTTGTGAGCTGGGGATATGGATAAAGCAGGCTGTAGGGAACCTTCAAGGCAGTGATGCATGGATTTTCATGGTCAGAAGGGTGGGCCCACTGATCCAAGAGTCAAGGGTTCACCCACTGATACATCCACCCAGTGATCCACCCACCTAATGACCCACCTAACCATATTCACTCATCTACCCATCCATCATCCGTCCATCCATCTGTCTATTTGTCCATGCATCCACCCATCCATCCACTCATCCACCCATCCATCTGCTCATCCAAGAAAGGTTGGGGGTAAATTTTTAAGTTTTCATGCCTGAAAGAGTGGGCTCACTGAAAGGAGAGAGGTAGAGAAAGAGTCAACCATTTGTTCATTCATGCATTCATTCATTCATTCATTCGTCTGTCTATCCATTATCACCAAACCTATTCATTCACCCACTCATGCACCTACATACTCATCCATCTACCTATCCACTCAGCTCCATTTCACATTCTCCTGTTTATCTACCCACCTATCACTCATCCATCCCTCTTCCTACCCACCCACTCATCATCCATGTAGGGTTGCGGAGAGATTGTACATGGTCATTGAATCCCAGCCTCAAGAAGTTAGACTGAAAGATGTGTCTATGTATGTATGTCTGTATGCACACATGCAGTACTAGGGATGGGATCCAGGGCCTTATGCATGCTAGGCAAGTACTCTACCACTCATCGACATCCCCAGCCCTTTTAAAATTTTAATTAGAGACAGGGTCTCCATGAATTGTTCAGTATAGCTTGTGATCCTTCTGTCTCAGTAGCTGGGATTACAGATGTGAGGGCATCAGTCCAAATGAAAGTTATCTTTTGAGGCAGCTGCCAAGGATTAGGAGGTTAGTGTACATAATAACCCAAGTGTGTGTTGGAAGCTATATAGCTCGGAGGTTAGCAGGCACAGTCTGTAGGTCCTGGAGTAGTTGGGCTGGGACATTTCAAGAAGGGACCTTTCTGCATCTTCCTGCCAATAGAAAGAGTTGGGAACCAGATGCGGCACAACCACTGTCATGGGCAAAACACCTGGATTATGCACTTAGTAAGCTAGTTTATACTAACCAGAGAGTATGGGGCAGCACACAGAATGACTTGGATTTCTTCTTCTCAAAATTTCTTAAAGGAGAGAGTACCCATCTAGGCTCTCTGGCACTACTATTGGGTACAAGGCTGGTTGACAAATATTTTAGAGTGAACAAATAATGTGGGACGGGTGGCTTTCAAGTGCTCCCACTTCTGAGTAGAGACTAGTAGCCTTCAAGATCAAAACCAAACCTGGAGCTGTGGGAGGCCTGGCCTTGTAGAGGAGCCATCACTGTCACCTGTTTTTACCTCTGTCCCCCAACAGTGCTTGTGGAATGAATGAGTAGACCATTAGTCAACAAATACCTATCAAGTGACTACTGTGAGCCAGGCATTGTTCTAGGAGCTGAGGTATAACAGTAGGTGAGACAGATTCCTCATTATTAGGATCTCAGTTTAGAGCTCTTTGGGTTTAAAAAGCATACAGGTGAGCCAGGCATCTCACCGTGCATGCCCTGCTGTTTCCTGAGGTCTGTGCCAAGTGGTACTTGCGGGTGCCAGTGGGTGGTGGTGTCTTGGGATCTAGATCTGGTGGTTATTTCCAGGAAAAAGAGAAAAGAGAGGGCAATACCTCTTGAGATACTAAGACCAGTGGGGGATCCTGACTACTGTTCATTAAGCACTTGTTATGTGCAATTCATTTGCACTTGGCCCTCTGTGTCTTCTGGTTCTGCATCCATTGATTCAATCAAACTCAGGCAAAAATGATCTGGAAATAAATTGTTTCTGTGCTGAACATGTGCAGACTTTTCCCCTTGTCATTATTCCCTAAACAATACAGTAATAACAACTATTTACATAGCATTTCCATTGCATGAGGAATGGCAATTGAGATGATTTAAAGTATACAGGAGGACGTGCATATGTTATGTGCAAATCACATGAAGTTTTGTATAAGGGACTTGAGTATCTGCTGCTTTTGCTGGCTAGGGGCGTCCTGGAAGCAGTCCTTCGCAGTAACTGAGGGATGGCTGTATATACCACCTGCTATTGTGTGTTCCACTCACCCCGTGAGGCAAGCTGTTTTATTTGCTCAGTTTCACAGAGGAAGAACTGAGATCTTAGGAGCTGACTCAGCCCAGCCATGGGGTAGGGCGGGGTGGGGAGAAAACGTGGTAGATGCTGGAGCTGAATCCACACTGTTTGGCTGGTAGCCTGCTCTTCACCACTTGGCCTAACTGCCTCGGAGGGTGGAAGAAGGTGGCAAGAGGGCTCTTCAGGAGCTGGTTCCTGCTTAGAAGGACTTTGGAGAGCTGTCCTGGGTGTGATCTTCTTATCCTGGAGTGTGGAGCTGTGGTTGGTGACTTCAAGCAGACCCATCCAGACACGCCTCTTGTGCGTGCACACTGAGAAAGCCACTGGGTAATGCAAAGCATGTCTGCCCACACCTATATGGACCCTATAAGTTTACACAAATCTCCGAATAAAAATTACATACTGCTGTAATTTCTAAGCACCGAGCCGCACTCCTAGCTGCAGGGGAAGGTGCTGAGTGCCAAGGAAAGCTGTCAATAGCTCTGGGGCCCGCTGGGCTTCTGCAGCTCTGGAAGGGGAACAGTCAATCAGGGCTGTTGCTGCCTTGGCCATGGTGGCGGGAGGGGGACCTGGTTCTGGGGGGGGTTTGAGGGTCAACTTAGCTCTTGTTACTTGACAAACATGTATTAATTTTTTCCCAGGTGGAAGCCCCTCAGAAATCAGCAATGGTGACTTCTATGAGACAGTTGTCACAGCTAACTCTCATGGAGCCCTCTCTGCAGCCCCGGAGCTGGGCTAAGAGCCTGTTCTGCCTCATTCTCACAACCACCCTGAGAAGTAGGTGCTTTGTCAGCCCTGTTTTATGCAGGTGAAAAGAGGTTCACGGAAGTTCAGCAATTCGCTCAAGGTCGCCAAGACAGTAATTGGTAAAGATGATCCCAAATTAACTCTGATTGATTCAAACATCTGCCTTGTAGCCATGATGCTGTTTTGCCCAGGCCTGGCTCCTCCCCCGAGACTCATCAAAGACAGCTGATTTGGGGGAGCAGACAGCAGCGGTGGACTCCAAGAGGATTCTGGGAACAAGCTCAGACCAACTTACTGTGTGTGCAAAGGTAACCTTTTGCATATTCACATGCTTGTCTGCATGTGGGCTTGAGACTTTGCATATGCCACATGCTCACGGTTGTGTGTATTCTGCATATGTTTACATATGTTTGCTTGCTCACATGTGTGCTTGCAAGGGGTTGGCTGGATGTTTTATATTCTTGTTCATAAGCTTAGCATATATGTATGTTTCTGAGCTAATATACATAGTGTACATCTAATTTTTATTACAAGCATGATTCTCTGTGCTTTACAGGTTTTAACTAATCTCATTCTCACAGTAATCCTATGAGGAGGGTACCAGTTATCTCCCCCAAATCATAGGCAAGATGAAGGCTCAGGGAGGGCGCCAGGTTCCAAGTGCCCTTTTTGTGATCACAGGATTATTTTCTTCCTTTATACCCATTGCCCTTATTTTCTATGCACGATGGCTTAGGAGGTGGTTCTCCACATCCACTGACTGCACCAGGGTTGGCCATGACACCCAGGTTGGCAAATCAGAGTCACTGTGATAGGCTCACGATCTTGTGAGCAGCACTTCAGGGTAGTTTAGTGTCACTGGAAGTGTGGTCTGCATACGGGAGCATCACATTCCTGCCCATGCCCTCCTTTCAAGATCTGAGCAGTTGGAGCTGGGGAAAGCACACCCAAACCCTTGTGCACTTAGGAGCCTGGACCCTGAAGCCACACTGCCTGTGTGGGTGTTGGTTGGAATTCCAGCTCTGACATTCACTATGGACAAGATGTATCAGCTTTCTGTGCCTCTTATTTCTTTACCTGTGAGCCGAGATAATACTAGTACTGGTCTGTTTGAGGAGTAAACAGGTTAATTCATACAAAGTACCTAGAATAGTCTCTTGGGAGGCTTGCTGTCACTGTCGTTATGCAGGGATGGGCATGTGACCCAAGCATGCCCAGTGAGCACCAGCCCTGGGACTTCACTGGCGCTATTAGGAAAGAGTGCCTCTCTCAACTGTGACAGGGTGTAAGCTTGGAGATGCTGGCGACCAGGTGCCACCTCAGCAGGGGAGCTCAACTGAGGAAAAGTGACCAAGAAGGAAGTCGAGGGAGAGGTGTCCCTGTGGACATTTTGAGTGCCCGGATTCAGTCCAGAAGCCACTGGACCTGTCCATTTCATGAGCAAATACATTTCCTTTGAGTTGGGCTCCTGACATCTTCCCATGAAGCATCCTGCCAAGTGCCTGGTTTGACCCATGTGTATTGTACAGTGACCCCCAGTGAGTCCAAGGCCGTTCAGAGAGTTGGGGGACAGTGCCGGAGCTCCTGATCCCCAGACTGGCACCTCTTCCTGGCCGTCTTGTCCCAGGGAGATGACTATAGACCCCGTCACCCAGCCCTCGGGGCCCGTTCTCTCAGGGGCACATGTTCAGGCTGACCATTTCTTCGCCCGCACTGCTGCTTGCCTGGGAGGATGGCAGAGCTTCCCCCTATGTCTAGGCTCCCCAGGAGCCACATAGGGACACTTTGACGAGGCTCCTCAGCCTTTCAAATGTCAAACAGGGCCCCTGCAGCCACTGCTGGGTCCCGTCACTGACCATGCCAAGCCCTCAGCCGCAAGCCTGGAGATGAGCTTGGACAGATGTCGAGGCCCTGAGGGGCGGTGGTCCTGTCTGTCTCTTTTTTTCCTTCTTCAGTCCAGGTGTCAGAGTGGACAGAAGACACCTTTGCCTTTGTTTCCGCAACTTGGTCTCTGGCTTCCTGCTTCTTTCCCCAGCTGGGGCAGGCTCTATCTTTCTGCCTCTGGCCTGCACCCCAGAGGTTTCCCTTTAGTTTCCCCTGCACTGTGCTCAGCTTTCCAGTGCTGCCCAAACCCCTCCCTCCACTCCCCATTTTCACTCTTACCTTCCCCCATCTCCCAAACTCTTAGCCTCCTTTAACCTCCCCTGTTTGACTTCTCTCTGTCTCTCCCAGCCCCACAGCTCACCCCTCATACCCCACGTTCCCAGGACTCCTCACTTCCCCCTAACCCCAGGGCTGTCTGGGTTTCTCCGTCCGCTCTGATCTCCCGTAGCCCTGCCTCTGGCAGCAACCTCACACCTGTCTTTCCCCCTCACTCCCTCTCCTGCAGGTGGCCTGCTGCCAGTCGGGTACCAGCCGGGTTGCCATGGGAACCACTGAGCGGTTTAGGAAGCTGCCATAGATCTAATCACAGGCTCTGAGGCTTCAAGGAACAGCTCACTTTTTAGATGGAAGACTGGTGCCGACAGCTGATCAGGCAGATTAGGGAGGGAGGGTTCAGGGAGGGGGAGCGGGAGCCACAGAAGATGTCAACCTAGGCAGGGCCCTGGTCTTAGGTGACCCGAGGCTGGTCACCTAGGTGCCAGATCCACTCAGCCTACACTAGCTGTGGCTCCCTGGCACCCTCAGGTCCTCTGGGATTTTCCTAAAGAGACCACTGATGCTACATTTGTTCTCTCCTTGTTCTTCCGTCACTCTCATTCATTCATTCGCTCACCAGACACCCTGTTTGGATGAAGAGGGAGGTGAAGTTGCAATAGACAGGTCCCTTGCTCTTAGGGCCTTCAGAGGATGGCAAGGAAACAGTTCATGCAGGAACCTTCCCCCGGTGTGCTCAGAGTCTGCAGCTGGGGACATCCAGGGCTGGGGAAGTCTGGAGCTGGGCAAAAGGGCCTTGCCACCCGGGGAGAGTGGGGGGACTGGGAGTGTGTTGCACAGGAGGTCCTTGAGCCGTGTCTCCAAGGGAGGAAGAATTCATGAACAAGCCAAGGTGAGGGCCCTGCTGACCTGCAGCCTGTCTCTGCACATAGGTCATGGACTCTGGACTCTGAGTACAAATCCCAGCCTGTTGGGAAAGAGCATAGTGAGTCTACAGGAGCCTTTAATGACAAACACCTCTGTAGGGCTTTGAGGTGACACCCAGAGAAGCTCCTCTTACAGCTAACCCAAGGAAGGACTAGGCGTGGCCCCACCCCTGGGAAAACAGCCCCATTTCACAGCACCTGGCTGCCCCCATCAGTGGTCTGCATTTGGGAAGCAGAAGGTGGGGGACTGACACAGGTGTGCCACTTAGTACTCTTTTAGACCCACTTTAGTTGTGTGGCCGGCAGGACTGTGTCACAGCTTGGCAGGCCAGAAGGGCTGGCAGCTTGGTCTCCTCTTAGATGGCTCCCCTTGGTATCAGTCTTTTGGTTTCTCTCCTCCAAGCCAGAGACTGTGTTTGCACATAATTTGCATACATTTGCATGTGGTGTTGCCGGGACCAGCATAACATGAGGAGAACACATTTTTCTCACCAGGGTGCTTGTAGCCTGGATCAGAGCCCAGGTGCGCAGGTAACAGGGGGCTCTACAATTGTTCCCTCCTCCTGGGTACCACTCCTGCCTTCCTGCCTCCCCAAACCGTGGAGCCTGGACTCCAAGTCAAAACTGGGACCCCAAGACTTGGAAGCCACGGCAGTCAGGAATCCTGGATTTCTCTGGTCCTGATGCAACCACTTGTTTGCTGTGTGACTTGGGTGGGTCACTGTTGCTCTCGGTATCTCCACCTGCCTTTGATAAGTCTAGGGTTTACCGCAGAGGGGATGGAGAGTATATACTGGAAGAAGTGTGCTCTCTCATTCATTATCTATTCATTATCTCATTCATTATCTGACTCTACTCCCTGTGTGCTTGCAATGTACTGGACCCTCTGTTCTGGAATGAGTAGAACCAGTCATGATCCCTGCCCTCAAGGAATTTCAGGGAGACTGGCTTTAATCAACCAAACTATGTGCCCTTGCTACACAAACACAATCGTGGTGCCATGTGGGAACTCAGAGTTAGTCTAGAAGGACAAGGAAGGCTTTCTGAAGGAAGTGTCTTTCAGCTGAGATGTTAAGTGTGAGACGTTATCTAGGTAAGGAGGGACTGGAAGAATCTTCTAGGCAGAAGAATAATACCCAAAGGCCCTGGAGTGGTAAGGAGCAGGTGACTGCAAAGGGGAGAGGAAGGCAGGGTGGTTGAGTGGAGAGGGGTGGGGAGAGAATAGAGAGCAGATGGGGCTGGCTCCTTAGCGTCTTCCTGCCTCACTACAGAAGGCTCTGCAACGCCCTGACGCCTTTATTTTGAGTGCAATGGGAGTCTGGGGAATGGGTGGAGCAGAAATGGAGCACTAGTTGGGAGGCTGTGGGGATCCTAGGTGTGAGGAGGCAGGGGCATGAGTTAGGGGCAGGAAGGTGGCGACAGAAAGAAGGGGAAGAAGTCATGAGAGCATCAGGTAGTGGCAGACTTGGAGGGAGATTGTGGACAGGTAGACTGGTGTTGACAATAGCCTTTAGCTTTCTGAGCACCCTGGGTCAGGAAGGGGATCCACTGACAGAAGAAGTGCTGGAGGAACCCGGAGCTGGAAGTGCATTATGGTTCTGCTTGCATTGCCTTGGGGGCCTCCTAGTGGCAGCTGGGTAGAAGGGTCTGAAGCTCAGGAAGAGGTGGATGGGGCTGTTGTGTCCTCCCAACGCGTTGCTCCAGTCTCAAAAGCCCCCAAGTTCATTTGCACCCTGCATCTTGTAGAAGTCCCTAAGTTCATTTGTCTTTACATTACTATTTTAGGGTTATTTCTAATCTACAGACAAGCAGAGCTCTGGGAAATGGTGTTGTGTTTATTCACACATCTGTCTTACCCCTGGGCTGGGGATGCCATAGGACAGAGACTTTCACCAGTGTTCACGATGCCTACCACAGGCCTGATACACAGCAGGTAAAGTTTAGTGTGCACTCGTTGAATGAATGGCCGGATGCGAGGGTTTTATTTTATGTATTTTGCTTCCCCCCGCTACACTTGGCTTTTCAGGTAATAACTGGGTCTCATGCTCAGCTGTGCCCTCCACACAGCCTGGCCTGCATATAGCTGGTGCTCAGTGCAGGTTTGTTGCCTATTCCCACAGCGGCCTTTTCCCAAACAAGCTGACTCCAGACTCAGGTCCCTGTGTGAAGCCGCTGTCCCCTTGGGTGTAATGGATACGTATTTCTCCTTGCTCACGTGCTCTGCC